TGTCATCGCTGTGATCTTTAACAATCTGCATTTAACAGTCTAATTAAGGAACTAAATTGATTATTTACTATAAACAAAGCAAAATTAAATGCAATAATTTCAAGAGATTTATGGCAAATGAATTTGAGGTATGGATACATCTTTCAAATATTTTTTTATTGTTCTTCAGTAAAGAAAGACACAAGGGAGAAAATACCCAACTCTCATGTTATCTCAGTGTTGCTAGGGCAGAAAAGTGACAATGCTTGCTTGTATAAACTAATGGCTGACTGTCAAAGCTTCCTTCTTGGCTGCATGGTGAACATGTGATTAATATTAATAAAGGAGGTGAAAAAACAGTTGGATAGGTCCAATTAGTGAGTGAATCCATAGGATATTACTTATTGCTAGAATGAGAAAAGTTTTTTCCTTACCCCATCCAAGCTGCGACTATGGATCCCTAAAACATAATTCAAACATTGTCCTAGCTTCCTCTAGCATTCTGAGATGCCTTCCTCTCATTGCTTTTGATGTCTAGTGGTTCTCTTTGGTATGTTTGGAAAAGGATATACAGTATTTTTACTTATTCTATTTGGCACTCTAAGCCAAAGGGGGGTAGGGTTGAGGGAGGGCAGTGCGGGTGGGTGGGGTGGGGGAAAATGGTGGTGGGAAAATGGAGACAACTGTACTTGAACAACAATAAAATAAACAAATAAATGAAAAATAGAAGATAAAAAAATAAATTAAAAAAATAAAAACACTTGTGTTTTCAATTGTGGAAAATTCCTTCTCTACATTTCCTTTATTCTCCTTTTTCTGAAATCCTAGTAAACACTTCACAGTGCTGATCCACACCGCAACAGCTTTTCAAACTGCTTCTGTCTTTATTGCTTCTGCATTTCTCTCCCTGCTTTGCATTCTCTGTGAATTCCTCAATGCTAGCTTCTATTGTACTAATTATCCCTTCAGCTATGTCCAACGTGGAGTGCATCCTCGTTTATATTTAAAGTTTTCATTTCCAGTATGCTCAGTATTTATCATTGTTCAGTTCCTGCTTCAACATTCTTGTTTAATTCCTGCATTTTCTACATGTCCTTATTCTCTTAAACTCTGTTCAGGTTGCTACATATAACTTGCATCTCTTCAGGGGTAAATACACATCCGATTTGAGTTAAATATCCTTATATACACCATTAATGCATCTACCGTCTCCCCTTCCTCCTTCTTCTTTTTCTTTCAGTCACACTATGGCTATATGTTAAAGCATCCTATCAGTACCATCTTGACCAAGTCCAATGCCTTGTTCTAGACAGCTTCTCTCCCAGTTCTAAACTATCTTCAAGCCAGTCACTTTGTGAAGCCTTTCCTGACCACACTTACTTGGTATTAACTATCTCTGTCTCTTCTGGTTTGCTGCACCCTGCTTTTGCTTTCATTTAGCATTCACCAAACAAGGGTTTCTTGAAGCCCACGAGTGTGCCACACTCTCTGTCAGGCAACACAGTATAAACATGAGCAAGATGAGGTCTCTTCCTCAAATAATCAAGGGTCTGGTCATCAAGCTGGATGAGCAAACAAACCATTGTTATGCAGAATAAGTGCTTCAGCCCAGGAATGTCCAAGGTCCAGGGGGTCTATCCTGCACAGGAGTGGGAGGGGGCAAGGACCTGAGCCCCATAGAGAGGCAATGCTTGAGCTGGGTCTTAAGGAACAGCAGTTTACTAAGTAGAGCTGAGGACATTCCTGGTTGAGGGAATAGCATGCTAAAACAGACTGAGGTAGAAAGGAGAAAGGGCCCTTTCCAAACCATTGAGACACCAAGCCTAGCATATGTGAAGAGGGCGAGCAGGAAAGGACGGAGATGGGGTTGCAGAGCTGAGTGTGCAGGGCCTCGGGCAACATTTGGGACTATCCAGTGTGTCCCCAGGGACCATGCAAAGCCCTTGAATGTTGAAGCAGGGACATTGCAGGGCAAGGTTTTCACTGGAAGGAACCAGAAGCAATGGAAGGGACCAGAGTAAAAGTTGGGTGGCCAGGTAGGAGACCATTGCAAAAGTCCAGGTAAGAGGTGAGAGCAGCCTAGATGACCTTGAGGTCCTAGGATGGAGGGAAGTGGGAGTGGCAAAAGGGAAGTAGAGTTGACGCACACATATCTGTGAGTGAGATAAAGCAAGGCCTGTTAACTCTAGAGCTGGAAGGCCTTCCTAGTCCCCAAAAGCTAACTCCTTAGGTAAGGGGGATAGCAGGCAACTGCCACAGCCATCGTTCCAGTTGTCCCTGAGCTGGCGTCTCAGGAACTGTGGCATAGGGCCTTGATCAATCCCCTACCACTGCCCCACCCAGCTGGGCATTTTGGATAGGCCTTTAATTTGTGTAAATTAAAGTTATTTTATTTCCATGTTTTAAGAACAAACATGTGGAGGGGGGAACCTGTTTAAATTCTTCATAGAAACTGATTAGTGTTTATCCTATCTCTCTGGACGTTTTTTTGAAAGTAAAGGGCTCGCTTGGCAGAGTGAGGTTGTTCTCATTTCTTCACGCCATCCTGTGTGAATGCTGCAGTGTCGGGGGTAGGGGCTGACCTGGAGGCAAGAGGCGGGCCATATCCAGCTCTCTGAACACCTGGCCCCAGAGCAAGCAGCCATCTCCAGAACTTTTGTAATTGCATCTGCTCTTCTGCCTGATACAGAGCGGATGTCATTGTGGTTACATTGAGAATCTACCACACTCTGTGAAAAATATCATTGGGGTCACAAAGCCTCCTTGGTGGGTTTGACATGTTGCCTTAGCATCCCCCTCACCCTTCGCCATGCTCTGTACAAAGGGGCTGCCTCCAAGCCAGCTGCAGCTCACTTCCAGGAGACTGAGATGAGACTACTCTATTTTCACACATTGCACCCCAAAATCTGACCGCCATCATACTCAGGGCCATAGTTTCCAATATCCAAATACCTGCAGGTTGAGTCTGGCCCCCTCCATACTTCCCCCGCTGGGCGAGGCACACCTTCATAGCTGTGCACTTCCATGCCACCCCTCTGATTGCATCATGCAGCCAGCAGGGCCAGCGGACACTCCTCCTTGCAGTGGAAACGGAGATGACGCAAAATGGGAAGCTGTTGTCTAAAATGAGGGTTGCTATGTCAGTGGCCTGTCTGGACTTAGCTGTTACCTTCACTTATATGTCTACACAACCAGGGACACCCCCCCGCCGCCCCTGCCGATAAGCCAGGAGATCCATTGCTGTGTATCCTGTTCATAGCCATCATTTCAAAGGGTTTCCTTCTCCAACTGCCCTCATCTTTAATTTGAAAATGTTACACGTACTGGTGCAAGTCTTCAAGGATACAGATACATTATACCTGCTACAGCCTTCCTAGTAATTACAAAAATTGAGAAACTGTTTATATGAAAATGCTCTCATTTACAAGAATGGGGTAGCTCTACATGAGCTGACATGAAAAGCTTTCCATCTACTGTTAGATAAGAAAGATAAGTTGCAAATATATTATATATATATGTAGTACAGCTACATATGTCTAAAACAGTGTATAAATATCTGTTGATGAACAGATAATATCTGAGGGACACACTCAAATGTAACAGTGATTTTCTTTGGAGAATGGATGACCATGAGGAAAACTGAGCCAAAGAACTTCCTCTGTATTTTTTTTTGTATTGCCTGAAGTTTTTCAAGAACATGTAATTCTTGTAAGTCAAAACACACTTTAAAGCAGTTTTAAATATAAAATGTTAAATGTTTCATGTTTTAGTAAGCATCTGGGTGGTTCGAGAAGGAGTAGGGAACATTGAAATCCCAGTAACTTTTTTAAAAAAGTCTACTAAGTTCATAGTAGACTCACAGGTGGGGCAGACACATGGAACAGATAAAGCCACGTGGCCTGACTCTAGAATCAGGCAACAGTATGGAGTGCCCCTACTATGAATTCAAAGTGGGAAGACCTGGAAACCCTAAAAAAATGGGAAGAGCGCACCCGCTGGGTCTGGAAAGGTTTCAGGACAGCAATAGACCAAAAGGAGGGGACACATGTGTGACAGAGAGAACTGCCTTCACCCAAGCATTCACCCAGGCTACACCCATACCCCTGCTCAGCACCCACAGCAGGCGGAACAGAGCAATGAGGTCCAAGTCCCACAGCACTGCAGCTGGCCTCGGGCCTTAAGCAAGAAGCCTTCCCAGCAAAGGGAACACGGAAGGCGAGAGGAGCCCCCAGTTTACACAGCCTCATGCCCTGCGAGAATGCAGCAGCAGGGACTGAGCAGAGGCTGAGAGAAACCAGCACTTGACTCAAAGGCTTGGAGCCAAGCCAGGGTTTAGCTTTCATCCAGTCCTGCAGGTGAGGGGAGGTGGCAAGGGTGACACTATCACATCCTTCCATGAGATTAATGTTCCCAGCAGGTGGCTGGGGGGCTGGCCAGGAGAGAGGTGGTATGGAGGCTGCGGCAATGACCCTAAGAAAGGGTTATTTAGGCCGTGTGACAAAAGTGTGGCCGCCGGGAGAAGGCCCGCAGGGAACCGCCAGCCCCGCAAGGCGGGGGTGGCCGGTGCACCGCAGCGCCTCCCCGGCGAACCCAGACTATGACCGAGCCGTGGGCCGCCCTTAGCTCCTCTTCCTTCTCAGCCTTCAGTGCCCGTTTTGCAAAGCCCCGAGGTAACAGTAGCAGAAACACTTTGAGTGAGGACAAAGGAGGAGGACACTCCTCTCTGCTTTCCTGCTCACTCTCACCTTCATTTCTTGAAGTGTCTACTCACTCATTATTTTCTCTCACCCCCGCAAGAATGTCATGTCGAGAGCCATTTCCAAGCCCTTTCCCTCGACCTCAAACCTGCACTTCTCGACTGCCCCCAGACTCCCGCCCGCAAGGCTTCCTAGACGGCTCCTGTTCACGGGCCCCAGCCCCCTCACTGGGCTGGAGGGTGACAACCACGAAAAAGAGGGCGGCTATCTCCTCGCCGGAGCTTCGGGTGACATCATATCCTCCGAACGGGAAATCGGGCTCGGCGGCCGTCCGAGGGGCGCAACTTCCCGGCTCGGCGCCCCACCGTGAACTGGGAGCTGGGCCACGCTGCGGGAGCGCGCGATGACCTCGCCGGTGACCGGGCTGCTCCTGGTGCTGCGTGAGTTTGCGACCCTCGGGGAGCGCGGGGGTCGGGGCGGGTGGAGAGGCTGGTGCGGGCGGGGGCGCAGAGGCTGGTGCGGGCGCGGGCGCGGGCTCGGGGCTCAGCCTCTCCGCCTGCACCCCCGCAGACGCTGCCGCGGCGCTCGGGTCCGGCGAGTTCCGGATGTCGCCGCGTGAGAAGAAGGCGACCCTGGGCGAGGAGGTGGAGCTGCGCTGCGAGCCGCTGAAGTCCGGGGCGTCGGGCTGCACGTGGCTCTACCAGCGGCCGGGAGCGGCCGCCAGCCCCATCTTCCTAATGTACATCTCCAATACCCGGACCAAGAGTACGGAGGGGCTGTTTGCCAACCAGATCTCAGGCCATAAGGACCGGAGCGACGTCTACTCTCTCAGAGTGAAAAACTTCCAAGAAAATAACCAAGGCTACTATTTCTGCTCGATCCTGTACAACTCGATAGCGTACTTCAGCCCCTTCGTGCCCGTCTTCCTGCCAGGTCCGGGAGCTGGGGGCATGGCACCTCTTGGTGTGGGGGGTTGGGTCTCTCCTCTGAACCCGCTTTTCACGTGGACGCCCCGCTTTCGAGCCTCTTAGCGCCCCTGGAAGCCACTTACATACTGTCCCCATTTCACAGAAGTGGAAACTGAGGCGAAGGTGCGGCTGGGTAGAAACTAAAGATGGCCTTTTAGGTCCGGCCGATCTGGGCTTGAGTTTAGGTGCTTGTGTGGTCCCGGGCCCGGTACTTAAATTCTCTGAGCCTCGGTTTGCTCGTCAGTAAAATGCGGACATCAACCCAAGCCCACAAGGGAGCGCGCCCACAAAGGTTGCGCCCCGGGAGGGGAGGCTGATGGCGGGGAGCGGGCTCCTGCCCTCCAGTCGGAGGCGCCGAGGTGCACTGCACGGAGCCCGAAAAACAGCGGGCTGCCGCGCCCGCCACGAAGGGGTCGGCGCAGAGCCGGGAGATTCCCACCGCATCTCCCCCGCCTTGAGAGCAGAGAGAAAAGCGCGGGCGACGGTATGTCCTTCCTCCGGTGGAACCCGGGAGGCAGAGTCCCATAGGGCACAAGCGCGCGGAGCTGTGCGGAGGGCTCGCGTCCAGATCCCCAGCCCGATCCCCAAAAACGCTCTGTTGCTCCCACAGCGAAGCCCACCACGACGCCCGCGCCGCGGCCACCCACGCCGGCGCCCACCAGAACGTCTCAGCCCGCGTCCCGGCGCCCGGAGACCTGCCGGCCGACCGCCGTCAGCGCAGGTGAGGCTGGCCCTGGGTCCCGAGGCGGGGGCGGGCCACGGGCAGTGCAGACCGCGCGGAGAGCCCTACTAGGGTCAGCCCTGATCCCGCCGGAAGAACGGAGGGCTGTGCCAGTGGTGGGAAAACCAAGACCCGGAGCTGGGAGACGCGCGGGGGCTGTCAGGGTGGGGTGGAGGATCCGGCCCGCTCCTGAAAGTTGGTGTCTTCCGTGTCGTCAGGGGAAACGAAGCAGCCCTTCGCCTGTTCTATCTACATCTGGGCGCCTCTGGCTGGGATCGGCGGGGTCCTTCTTCTGTCTCTGATCGTCACCGCCACCTGCAGCTACAGTAAGGCCTAGGGAAGAGTGGCACGGAGCGCTCTGCTCCGCGACCGCCTGTTGCGCGGCTTGATCCAGGCAACTCTTGCGGGAAGACGGGGTTGAGATTTCTGGGACTCCGAGCTGCACCGCAGGGCCAGAAGCAGCCCGTTTCTTTCTGGGGGATAGGACGCGGGGAAAGCCCCTTCCCGCTCCTCTTCCACTCTGCACCAAGTTTTTTAAACGGAGGACGACAGATCGCTACCTACCCGAACGGGCAGCGGCATGAGTGTTCTTTCCGCGCCTCCGGGAGTGAGCGCACAGATTCGGGCTTAGCACGAACACCGCCGGGGAGGTCGCCTCTGGGGCGCTGGGACCAGTGCCCGCGAGGGCTGGGCCAAATGCACCGCAGGCTGAGATTTATCCTCGGCCCCCTCGCCCTGGGGCCCCTACCCGACTTCGGTTCCCACGCACGTGAACCATCCGTGTATTTGCAATGTGTTTTGTATTCTTTTTTCTTTTTTATACGAAGAGGGAGGGAAAAGAAACTGTGACCTGAGCTTTCAAGAGCTATAAACCTAAAGAAACAGGAAAAGGGAAGGAAAAAACATATCTGGGGACTGTTGGGAGCAGCAGTCACTTTACCCCTTCTTTTACTTTATCCAGGAAACCGAAGACGCGTTTGCAAGTGTCCCAGGTGAGTCTCTCATAACTGACGGGCCTGCTAACCCCCGGGCAGCCCTGGGCTCGGAGCCTAGCTTCCCGAGCGGCGGACGGGGGGAGCCTTTCCTAGAGCGGCCATGGCCGTGGAGTCCTGGAAACAGGAAATCAGTTTAGCGCTGGAGCAGAGAGGCAGAAGGCTGGCAACTGGAGAAAACGGAGACCCAGGTCGGGCTGATGGGGGAGCAGTGTAAGTTCAGTCAATCTGCGTCTGATTTGGCCTAGCACTAAAACCCATCTGAAGGATTCCCCCAGTTTACCGGAGCTCTTCAAAAGACGTGAGGTCTCTTTATCTGGATGATTTTAGCTGTGTGTTTTTTTCTTAACAAAACTTTTTTTTTTTCCTACTTGCTTGATCTAGTCTTTTTGAGAGTCAACGTTTTGTCTCCTGAACCAAATAAATAATGGCCTTGGTTCCTAATTTCCCTGGGCCAATGCAGGGCCTGGAATTGCTGCCAAGCACTGGAGTGAAAGAAGGAGGGGAGCAGAGGCAGCTCTCTGGCAGCTCAGACGGCAGCCTCAGCCAGTTTCGGGCCAGGGTTATTCCGAAATGATCACGAAAAAAAAAACAAGGCCTCAGTCTCCTCTCCTCGCCGAGGCCAAGGCAGCCCTGTGCTAACATCCAACAAGCACCCCCTCCAGCCCTGCGCGGTGATGCGGGTTCCACGCAGGACCTCCCCATCCTCACAGCAGCCCCATGGGTCTTATCTCACAGATCACTGACTCTGTGAAAACCTACCCAGGTTGGCAGAGACATGATTACACTCAGATTATCAGCAATAATAGCCACCATTTGATGAAAGCCAATTACCTGCCATATGAATATATATATGGATATTTATTTTCAATTTCAAGTTTCATAATCACTCTTAAAGCAATTCCTGTGACCGCTATTTTACAGATAGGGAATATGAGGCTTAGTACGTGTAGTGACTTGTTCAAGGCTGTAATGCCACCAAGTAGCTTCTGTCCAAAGCTCAGGCTCATTCCTGTGGCTGGGGACTAAGAGAGGAGGGGGTTAGATAACCAATTATATACACCAGTTCTTTTCAGTAGATGAAAAACATTTCAAATTTTATACTGGGGCTTTGCATTTCACACTTCTTAATATTTCTCTGCAGGAATACAAGTCCAACATCTTACACATCATTATTTTTAACAATGGAAATATAATGAATTTTCAATTCATATATTATAGGTGATAAACCAAGGGGATAAAGACTTTAAAAACAGACAAGGATTTTTCGCAATTTCAATACTTGGGGTGCAGTGGGGAGCTTTCGGAGGAGAATCATCCCTTATCTCTATTTTTTCCTGAAAATTCTCATTTCCAAATGAATAACTGAGAATAAAACTCTGCCCTGAAATACAAAGCTATGCAGATTGAACATGTCTGAGGAGTCCACAGAGCTGAGCTATGACACCCAGCAATGATCGAGGGCAGCTCAGCTTCAACAGAGAGGTTTTGGTGTGCACAGACCTGACACTAGTGCAAAACAGCCCCTGTAGGAGATGCTGGCCCAGTACTGAATAAGCACACATTTCTACCAGCACACATGGTTACCAAGGGGGCTTTTAAATAAAGTAGCTCTACTTGGCTGATGGTGATGGCCTGTTCACATCTTCCCCTATCCCTGAGACCCTCCTGGGAGCTGAGAATCAAGCTTTGACTACCGGCCTCTTTCACTTCCACGGGGACCTTGCTAAAGATCCTGGGTTCAGATCCTGGCTCCCCCACCTCCTAGTTAATGTGACCTGGGGCACATTCTCTAACCTCCCCTGGTCAGCACATACCCCTCAGGTTGCTGTGAGGATTAAACAAGGTGGAACAGTGAAGGCGCTTGGCAGGTTGCTGAGGTCATTCAGCCAGTCCTAGGCTGGCGTCCCAGGGAGAGTGGGTAGACACGGGTGGATGCGGCGCTGCTCTGCAGGGACTCTTTCTACAATGATGGTTGCCTCTCTTCCAGGCCCCTGGTCAGACCGGGGGGCAAGCCCAGCCATCCAGAGAGATATGTCTGACGTGGCGACGGGTCCTGCGCATCAGCCACTACTGAGACTTCAAACTGAGAACCCTCCTCACAAGGAGGGCAACAGCCCTTCCCTTCTGGTTTTTTCAGCCTTCCTTCTTTATGTGTTCATTCTCGTTATTATTTCCATTGGGTTGGGGGGTGGAAAGGTTATTTTTTCTTTAATTGACACAAAACAGAACTATATGTCTACAGTACACCACTGTGCATACGAATCGGGGAAGGGGGCAGGTTGTGTTTTCAGAACCAGACCCCTAGAGCTGGTGGGGGCCTCACAACCACCTGGCCCAAACCTCTTTCCTGGCCATTTTATAGAGGAGGAGGCTGAAGTCCAGCGAAGTTTGATCAGAGTCACAGCAAGGCTGGGGCTCTTCCTCCACATCATGCAGATATTTCTTCTGGAGGCCTCTGTTTCAGCGGGGGGTTCTATGTCTCAAAGCGCAAGGGAACAAGTCATTTCTCCAGCACCTGCGATAGACCCATTACTGCACCCAGAGCCCTGAGAAGGTAATGAAATAAATGAACTTCTGCCTTTCACTGAGTTTCGTAATGTAGTTGAATAGTATCAGAATTTTTTATAATCAAGCCTGAAATTGTATAGACAGTAGGAATTCCTCACATTAAGGTGAACTGAATCCTGGAAAATGAATAACTCAATCCCTAAAGAAAATCTCTCTGACATCCCTAAATGGAGGTAAAATTGTTTTCCCAGTCTTTCATTGCAGAGCAACCCATGAAAGAGGAGAGGCCATCCTTTTAAAAATATGATTTGAGCATCAGTAAGGTTGAATGGAGATCCTTTTGAATCTCAAAACTTCGGATGCCATATTTGAACATGCTCCTGGGATCATTGATGACCTTTTAGTTTGTAAAGGCAAAATTGTCACGGAGCTGCCAGTGCCGCCCCTGGCCTCCCCTCAATCAGGTGAGGACGTGGCAGAACAGACTCTGTTCTGGTGAGGAGTTGAGGCGTATAATTGCCTAAAGAGTTGCCCTACACACCCATCTCCTCTCTTACGGTATTGTACAAGAAATGTGTTCTCACTGGAAGAAAAAACTTAACTTGATAAGGAAACAAGGATCATCCATAATTCTTTACCCCTGGTATAATCCACTGTTAATATTATGGTATACAGATTATTTTCTATGCATGTATGTAAAATACATACTTTGTTTATTAAATGGAATTGCATTGTTTGTTTGTTTTAAGTGGCTTTAATAAACATTTACAGCACACTTTTTAAAGTCTATTTCATTGCTTACACTATTACAGTTGTCCCAGTTTTTCTCCTTTTGCCCACCTCCACCCAGTACCCCACTTCCCTCCAGCAGTCTCCCCCTGTAGTTCATGTCCATGGGCCATTCATCTAAGTTCTTTGGCTTCTCCATTTCCTATACTAGTCTTATCATCTTCCTGCCTATTTTGTACCTGCTAATTATGCTTCTTGTTCCTTGTACCTTTCCCCCATTCTTTCCCTTCCCCCTCCCCGCTGATAACGCTCCATGGGATCTCCATGTCTATGATTCTGTTCCTGTTATAGTTGTTTGCTTAGTTTGTTTTTGTTTTTTAGATTCATTTATTGATAGTTGTGAATTTGTTGTCATTGTAATGTTCATAATTTTGATCTTTTTCTTAAAAAAGACCTTTTAAAGTTTCATATAATAAGGACTTGTGATGATGAACTCCTTTAGTTTCACCTTTTCGGGGAAGCTCCTTATCTGCCCTTCCATTCTAAATGATAGCTTTGCTGGATAGAGTAATCTTGGTTGTAGGTCCTTGCTTTTCATCATTTTGAAAACTTCTTGCCAGTCCCCTCTTGCCTGCAAAGTTTCTTTTGAGAAATCAGCTGATAGTCTTATGGGAGCTCCTTTATAGGTAATTCTCTGCTTTCCTCTTGCTGTCTTTAACCTTTGGCATTTTAATTATGATGTGTTTTGGTGTTTTCCTCTTGCTGTCTTTATCTTTAACCTTTGGCATTTTAATTATGGTGTGTTTTGGTGTGGTCCTCTTTGGGTCCAACTTGTTTGGGACTGTCTATACTTCCTGGACTTGTATGTTTATTTTCTTCACCAAATTAGAGTAGTTTTCTGACATTGTTTTTTCAAATAAGTTTTCGATTTCTTGCTCTTCCTTTTCTCCTTCTGGCACCCCTGTGATTTAGATGTTGGCACTTTTGGAGTTGTCCCAGAGTCTTCTTATTCTCGCCTCACTCTTTTTTGAATTCTTGTTTCTTCATTCTGTTCTGGTTGATTGTTTATTTTTTCCTTATGTTCCAAATCATTGATTTGAACCCCGGCTTCCTTCCCTTCACTGTTGGTTCCCTGTGGATATTTCTTTATTTCACCTAGTGTAGCCTTCATTTCTTCCCTTGTGCTTTTGCCATACTCAGTCGGTTCTCTGAGCATCCTGATCACCAGTGTTTTGAACTCTGCATCTGATAGGCTGGCTATTTCCATTTCCCTTAGTTCTTTTTCTTGGGTTTTGTTCTGTTCTTTCATTTGGGCCATATTTCTTTCTCTCCTCAATTTGGCAATCTTCTTGTGTTTGTTTCTGTGTATTAGGTAGAACTGCTTTGACTCCCTGTCTTAGTGCACCTATTAAGTTGTATGGGGCAGAGCTTTCGGTATTCACTGGGGCAAAGCAACCTGCTTCACAGCCTTGTGGCTCTGTGTGTGTCGGGGAGGGGTCGGAGAGTGGACGGTGCTCCTGCCTGGCTGCTGGAGGCTTGCTCGGCACTTACCCCATTTCCAGTCACTTCACCCGCTTTCTGTATGCAACTGGCACCCCTCTAGCTGCTTCCCAGGTGGTGTTTCCCAGAGTGAGTGGATTTGTGTACATTCTAGGTCTGTGTGCACCCTTTAAATGGACTCTCCCAAGAGATTGGCAGTGTCTTCTGCCTCCCCAAACCCCACTGGTTTTTACAGCCAGAAGTTATGAGGCTTTATTTTTCCAGTGCTGGAAACCTGGGCTGTGCAGTCTGGCCCATTCGGCCAGTCGCCCCCACTTCCGCTGCACAACTGCTGCACCTCTGCCGCCTGGCCACCACCATACTGTGTCCTCTCCGCCCCAGCTCCCTGGCTCCACCCCTCCTACCTGTCTGGATGAATATGGCTTCTTTAAATCCTCACTTGTTAGACTTCCATACAGTTCAGTTTTCTGGCAGTTCTGGGCATTTTTTGTTTTGAGGTTAGTTGTGATCCTTTTTATGGTTGTGCAAGGAGGTGAAGCATGTCTACGTGTGCCCCCATCTTGACTGGAAGTATGGCATAGTTTTTAGTGGCAAAATAACATTCCATTTTTGGTTGTGCCTTCATTTATTTAACTCTTAGTGGGCACTTAATTGTTTCCAATTTTCCACCACTATAACACTGCTAAAACTTTGTCCACATCTTTGCTTCTTTAAGATAAATACCCAAAAGTAAAATTACTGAGCCAGTCAACACTTTCACTTTGGACTCCCCATTTTCACATAAGTTAAAACAAATTAGCCTCTTCTTCTATCACCTTCTTTTTCTTTTTTCAAAAGAATTTATTTATCTTTTTATAGAGAGAGGGGAAGGGAAGGTAGAAAGAAGAGAGAAATTTTGATGTGTGAGAGAACTATCCATAGGTTCTCTCTCGCACGCCCCTGACTGGGGATCTGACCCGCAGCTCAGGCTTGTATCCCGACCGGAATTGGACCCAGCAACCTTTCAGTTTGCAAGACAACACTCACCCCACTGAGCCACACCACTCAGGGCGTCCATCACCGTCTTTTCTTTTGTTCTCTCATGATAACAGAAGCTGATACTCCTTTTATAATAAATTACAAAATCTTCATTCTTTTTGTTGGGGTAAAATATATGTAGAGAAAAATGCACAGATCATAACTGTAAGCTCCAAGACACCATTAAGTGAATGCTGACAGCCAGCACCAGATCAAAAATAGGACTTTTCCTACCCTCCAGAAACTGCCTTCTACAACCTAAACTGGTAAACTCCAAGTACTTTTACAGAACAGAAAGCAAAAAGAAAATGTAAGCCCAAGTGTCAGAAAGCAGAAGTGAAAGCTGAAAAACTTCCAGTAAGAAAAAGTCTAATATGTCCTAAATTAAATTACAGCAGGCCAGAGATTGGTAGAGACAAGTAATTCCCAGTTAATAGCTGTGGGCCAACTAACAAAAGACTGCTCATGTTCCCAAATGTATGTTGGAGCTTGGAATCCACATAGGGTGGCTATCTAAAGAGAAGTAGCAGGCCATTAGATGCCATTGCATCCTGCGTATGTGTGGCCTTTCTGGACTGCTGCCCACAGCAATGGATAGTAAATATTTCTTCCTTATATGCACCTACCCTAGAACTGACGCCACTTTACCTTTTTATCTTTAGCCAATATAAATTTTTTCAAAAGAACTTCCACCTTTCCCCCCAAAATGTAATGTATAAAAAAGTCATCAGCTCCAGGACAGTGGACACATTTCCTCCATCCAGCCCTGCTGCCCGTGGTTCAGACTGCACATCCCAGGACCCGGTCCTTCGTCTGGTTAGCATGTGGCTCAATAAAATCCTTTCAGAAAAGCTTTTGGCTGTGAAAGTTTCTAACATTTCCTATGAGACAAAGTCTTGCTCTTGCCCCCTCCTCCCATAATCTATCCAGCTGACCAGAACCAGCGGCCACAACACCCCGGGGACTGAGGCTCGGCTCAGAGCAGATTCTGAGGCCTCGAGTGGCAGCAGGGCCTGGGCTCTGGGTGGTTCTCTGGGTTTCCTGGAAAGGGTGGGGAGGAACACCCTGCACAGCCACTCGCCTCCTCAAGTGGAGGAAGCTTGTGAAGATGAATCTGGGTGAGGGTGAAGAGAGGAAAAATGGCACATCTATCACATGCAGCATTTTCCTCGTCCCCCCGCAGCTCAGGCAGTGAGCAGCTAGGGAGCCACGCTGGGGAGGCTACAGAGAGAGTTAAGTGCTTACAGACTTTTTTTTTTCATGCCCCCTAAAAAAGGGTTTCACCGTAAATAAAATGGTAAACAGTAAGTTGGAGATTAAAACTATCAACATAAGAAAACGTAGTCATTAGATTGGCCTTCAGGACCAGGGAGAAAATAGAAAACAAATCTGCTGGCCATGAGGCCTAACACATGCCAAACGTGGGCTGTGGACTTAGACGGGGGGCTCGCTGGTGACCACAGACATTCAACCCATTTGTTCTACATGTGCAGAAGCACCCACGGTTCAAAGCTAGCAGCCTCAGGCCCAAGAGGTTCACTTGCCAATCTCTAGCCTCAAGCATTGTTTCTATAAATATTTCTAAGTGGAAAATGCCTACAACATACTTTTTGGACCCTGAAAAACAGGAAGTAGAGAAATGACTTCTCTATTATGCTATAAAGTTAGTATCAGACCGCTGAAATCAAGCCTCAATGTGGTGCATTTAACAAACCTTCATTCATTTAACAAAAACATTCTATTTGAGGAAGAAATAAAACAGATAAATTTGTCATTTCTTTCTCTGGCTATTAAACAGCTCTTACGAGAGCCCACCCTACTTGGAAATCCCCTGCAACTCTTCAACCATTGGATCAGAAATAGGTCTCCCTTTTCTACCAGCAAGAAGCTGCACCTCCCCCTCCTCTCTGCCTGTGTGCAAATCCTTCCAGGCACAGGATTTCTTGACTACCTGGTGTAGGCACCACTAAACCTGCTCCTAAAAGCAGTGTTTCTCCACCAAAGGAAACTAAGGGAGGCCCTGATTATCTTAGATGAAGTTAAACGCAGAGGCTCTGAGAGCAGCTTCCAGGCTCTATTTATTAACTGTGTTCTCTGGCAAGTGACCCAATGTCTTGATACCTCAGTCTCCCCACTTGTAAAATGGGGTTAATAGGTTAATAGTCCCAACCTCTATGGGTTGGTGGGAAGAATATATGAGGTTTTTATGTTTTTTATTCTCACCCAAGGACATGCCTATTGATTTGAGAGAGAGCGGAAGGGAGGGAGAGAGCGGGGGACAGAAACACCTATGTGAGAGAGAAACATCGATCCATAGTCTCTCACATGTGACCCAACTGGGGACTGAACCCACAACCTAGGTATGCAGCCTGATCGGCAATTGAACCCATGACATTTTGGTTTACAGGACTACGCTCCAACCAACTGAGCTATACCAGCAGGCTATGTATTTTATTAAAGTGATTAGAAGAGCTCCTAAAAAAACATAGTAACAAATAATG